GAGGCCTTTCAGCACTTACTTCTTTTGTGCTGCCCAGTGTACACAGTGGTCATTAATCTGGTTAAACAGCAATGAGTGTAGTAAGCAGGCTAAATGAGGGGGGCAACTGAATACCTCTTTTTTCCTGATAAGAGAGTGGCTTCTGCTATTTCACCTAAGGCACTGGCCAGCAGAACGAGGCTTAAACAGAAGCTAAGCCACATGGACCAAGCATAAATCCAGCAGCTGGGACGTCGATTGGTTGCTGCTGCATGTCGGGGCAGCTTGCCAGTGCAGCAGTGGGACGCAGCCCTGTGTAGGAGCAGCGAGAACTTCTTAACACACAGCACTCCTGGACCAGGCAGGCTGCAGCAGTGTGAGCAAGGAAAACGCCTGATGTACTTGATCTCCTGAGTTTAGGGAAACGGGACTTTGTAAACCAACCCAAAGACCAACTTGACTTATGCCATCAATTTCTCCTCCTGCCCGAAACATAGTGCAAAACATTGGCTAATTGCGTGGGCACAATGGGACAAGAATACAAATAAAGTCAGGATGAGGATTAATCCAACAGGGACAAGGCATCACCGGTGGCTAATTAGCATCTCAGCAAAGACAGCCTCCAAAATGAAATAGCTGTGACGTTCTAGGACTAAAGATTCAGCTCAGCTGCAGCTTTCTTTACGCACCCTTCCAAAGAAATTACTGCTCTGAATGTAAAGCAGCAACATCCCCTTATCAAATGCCAAGATCAAATTGATGCTGTGTTGCAGCAGACACGGTGGCCCCAGGATATTAAAGAGATGAGCCTGGTGGGGTAACGCAGGTGAGACACACAAGCTTTTGAGCTCACACCAAAGAACTTGCTGTTGTGAAAACCTGTCTCTTTCAACAACAGAAGCTGGGTTAGTAAAAGATAATACCTCCTGGGCTAAGATCAAATCTTCGTTATTTCAATCGCCCTTCACTGGCTGGGATAAGCGATGGCAAGGTCAGACTGTCTGCGTCCTATGTTTATCACCTCCAGCGAGGCCATGTTATCACCTGAATATTCTGGAGACAGAGACATCCCAGCCATGTTGGCCCAGATTGACATGACAGATGATGCACAAGGAAAATAGAGTGATTTAAGTGCTTTAATTAGCAGCAACTTTAATCAAGCAATTGACACAAGCAAGCAGCTGCTGCTGTTCCACCCCATCTCTCCCAGTGGCTGACAATAAGACCCTTTCAACTGCTTTCATTTAAATGCAAAGCCTGGAAAACAGGTGGTAGTGCTGGAAGAACCTAGTTGGGAATCTTAAATGGCATCCAGGAACTCCAAAAATACTTAGCCCTTGTAATGATGAGCGGAAAGAGGTTCTCAGCTTGAGCAAAGTCAGAATCAACATTGCATTGTTATACTGGTGACACAGGAGTCACGATATTGGATCCACCCACACTATTGGGTCCACATTCACAATCCCGTTTGAAGTGTTGAAGTAAGTTGAAATGATTCACTGCAATATTTTGATTGTCATTTGCTGAAATTTTATTTCTGGACCCTCCCAGGACTCTAATCGACAGACCAAAGCCCCGGGTTTGAGTAAGCTGATACACTGTTACGTGTTTCCCTTGATCACAAAATTATCCAGCCTCCTTTTAAAATCCAGCTACAATAGCTGACTTGCATAAGCTCCCCTTGGAATGAAGTCCCCATATACACACTACATGTACCCTGTTGGGGGTAGAGGAGAAAAAAAGTTCCTTTCTCATTTAAGATTTTTCTTCACTGTGGAATAGCAGAGCTAGAAGCTATAGTCTAACAATGTCACAGGAGGGAACTGAGTGAGCATCTGGGCCAGGCATATCCGGTTTTCCTAACACTGAACTCTTCTTTATAAATCTATGCTTTGACCTGCCAGTCTCCTGTGGGGATCCAGTCAGTACATACAGGCAGTCCCCGGGTTACGTACAAGATAGGGACTGTAGGTTTGTTCTTAAACTTAAGTCAGAACTGGCGTCCAGATTCAGCCGCTGCTGAAACTGACCAGCGGCTGACTACAGGAAGCCCCCAGGCCAGGTTCTCCGTTCCCGGCTTTCT